TACCATCCATAGGATGGATACGAGGTACACAATAAACTAGCCACTACCATCCATAGGATGGATACGAGGTACACAATAAACTAGCCACTACCATCCATAGGATGGATATGAGGTGCACAATAAACTAGCCACTACCATCCATAGGATGGATATGAGGTGTACAATAAACTAGCCACTACCATCCATAGGATGGATATGAGGTGCACAATAAACTAGCCACTACCATCCATAGGATGGATATGAGGTGCACAATAAACTAGCCACTACCATCCACAGGATGGATATGAGGTACACAATAAACTAGCCACTACCATCCATAGGATGGATATGAGGTACACAATAAACTAGCCACTACCATCCATAGGATGGATATGAGGTGCACAATAAACTAGCCACTACCATCCATAGGATGGATATGAGGTGCACAATAAACTAGCCACTACCATCCATAGGATGGATATGAGGTACACAATAAACTAGCCACTACCATCCAAAGGATGGATATGAGTTGCACAATAAACTAGCCACTACCATCCATAGGATGGATATGAGGTACACAATAAACTAGCCACTACCATCCATAGGATGGCTATGAGGTACACAATAAACTAGCCACTACCATCCATAGGATGGATATGAGGTACACAATAAACTAGCCACTACCATCCATAGGATGGATATGAGGTACACAATAAACTAGCCACTACCATCCATAGGATGGATATGAGGTGCACAATAAACTAGCCACTACCATCCATAGGATGGATATGAGGTACACAATAAACTAGCCACTACCATCCACAGGATGGATGAGGTGCACAATAAACTAGCTACTACCATCCACAGGATGGATATGAGGTGCACAATAAACTAGCTACTACCATCCACAGGATGGATATGAGGTGCACAATAAACTAGCTACTACCATCCACAGGATGGATATGAGGTGCACAATAAACTAGCTACTACCATCCACAGGATGGATATGAGGTACACAATAAACTAGCCACTACCATCCACAGGATGGATATGAGGTACACAATAAACTAGCCACTACCATCCACAGGATGGATATGAGGTACACAATAAACTAGCCACTACCATCCACAGGATGGATATGAGGTGCACAATAAACTAGCCACTTCGGTGGCAAAATCTAAATTCAAAGGAAATGCTTAATGTTTTGTGATCTCAACATGACCTACACACAACTATTGACCTCTAGGTCACACCGAGCTAAGGTTTACAGATGTGACCTCAGAGTATAGACACAAAATAGAGTGTGGGAGCAAATGGAATTGGCAGTTAAAAACAAGAGGGAAGATGTCAGATGAGAAGGTGATTTACTGGGAAGAAGAAAATATTTTGAGGCGCTGATAAATGTTAATAAAGAAAGGGAGGCAGAAATTTTATGCATTGGGCAGGTAGGAATAGCATCTTATAGTTGATTTATTCTGGAGTACCCAGAGAGACCTTCAGCTGACGTATAGCTCCCCTTAAGACAATTCAGGGTCACATCGCGAACTCTGATGGTATGCTTTCCACCCCTTTAGTTGGTAAATTGACGATGGGATATAAGAAATTATCTGTTTAATATTTAAATTGTCGATGAATGGAGCAATGTGACAAGTAGGGTCTCTGAAGCTGAAACTGTGTAGCCTTAAAAATTAATAAAAAATAATGGTCTACCATACAGCAGTGTAGTTACGTGAGAGATGTCTCGTATACTGACCTTGACCCAGTCATTGGCCAACATCTCTGGAGTGATGCTGGGGTGATTGATGAGCATCTCCACGATCTTGTAGACTCCCTCAGTGATGGCATATAACAGAGCATCACCTGCAGTGCCGACAAGTTCAATTAAAGCTGCATTAAAGACATAGCCAAATATTGTTTATTGTTTACTTATTCGTATTAAAGAGTGATAAAGCTTAGACCTAGTGATTGGTAGTAATTACCGGTCTATAATTCTGCTGTTTTTATAGTGTAAAACTGTGATGTAAATAGTTTAGAAAACTGATAAGTGCAAGTGTAACATTTTGGGAATCTTTATTGAAGAAACGTTTCGCCATCCAGTGGCTTCATCAGTCCAGTACAGAGAACTGAAGACGCCACTGGCTGGCGAAACGATTCCTCAATAAAGGTTCCCAAAGTTTGCACAAGTATCTCATTGTCAAACTATTTAATCGCATTGTATTATAGATCCAAATTGTAATGGTTTCCGATCCCATTCTCAGAGGGATACAATTCCTCCGAGTGGAGGCTGTGGTATCTACACATGTTCTTGATGGTTTTCGACTCCGTTAACGGATATGCACAATCCTTTAAAAAAATAGTGAAGGCATTTAGACGCACATTAGTAGTGTTGAGACAGATTATGTTGCCAAACACAGTTAGTGTGAATCTTAACAGGAATAAACAGTCTCTCTAAGATAAACTATGACCTTTAGACGTGTACTTAATAATTTCTTGAAGGAAGCGTCAAGATCTTAGGAGACGTTTCGCAATCTCAGGTGTAGTGTATATATATATATATAATATAATATATATATATATAATATATATTATATATATATATATATATATATATAAATATATATATATATATATATATATATATATATATATATAAATATATATATATATATATATATATATATATATATATATATATATATATATATATATTAACAAAAAAATGAAATTATTTAATCAATTATTGCCTATATTCAAAGCTTATCTATTATTATTATTATTATTATTATTATTATTTATTATTATTATGATTATTATTATTATGAGTATTATTATTATTTATAATTTTTGGCAGAGAAGTAATACATTAATCTAAAGAATATTTTAAAGGTAGACAACATTCCCATATTTAAAAAACCATTATAATGTAACTATGTCTGATAAACAGTTTAACTAAACAAAACTAAGAACACACAAAACTGATTTACGACATATTTACAAAGTTATTAAAAACTAGTTTATTTGATAATTAATTATATACAACAGTGTTATTTAGAGATCTGTGCTACGAATTTTTTTTTTTTTAGTTTTTAGATGACACAAAATGCATTAATAGGGACTAAAAAAAAGCTATCCAATGCACGTAAACTTTATATACATAGTTTTTCCCTGGGTATGTATGTTTCTATAATACAATAAGATCACAGTAAACAAGAGGGACCTGACCTCCCAACGTCTACGTTCTTACCTCTACTAGTGACCTACGTCTCACCTCCTGGCGCTGTATAAGGCTCCATCCTATCACTTCAACTCCATATTCTTTCAGACTATGGAACAATACTCTTCTCCAGACTGAGGGACTGACCACCTCAAAACTTCAAGGGTGATGGACTGATTACATCGTCTTCAAGTCTCTTCCGCTTCTATCAACTTTTCTGTACTCGACTGAAGAAGCCTACTGTGTAGGCGAAACGTTTCGAAATAAAGATACCTAACTGTTGCATATGTGTCTTACCTAACAACAATTGATAATGCAGTACGCAGAACAACCACTGTGAAAAGTATAGTGAACTTATGTTATGTTCTTTACTTCCAAGCCCTTTCGGGATTCTTCACATTATCACAGTTCCTTGATAATGTGAGAAATCACGAAAGCACATGGAAGTTCACTATTCTTTTCACGGTGGTTGTTCTGTATATTTCTGTAATATATTTGCGGTACTTTATGTATGGTAAACATTAATTGTATGACCTGGAGGCAGCTGCAGAACACACATAAGAACATAAGAAAAAAGGAACACTGCAGCAGGTCTACTGGCCCATGCCAGGCAGGTCCGATTCTCCTACGGGCTTAAGCCAATGCCCTAACCTATTCAGGTCAGATCACATTCACTTAAAGAATGAGCACGGCATCTGACCTAGTAGCACAAGCTAGTCAGGTCCAACTCACACCCACTCATGCATTTATCTAACCTATTTTTAAAACTCACATAGAATGGTATCATAGCTTCCTCAGCTCTAGTCTTGATGTTGATTTCGATTGTCGGGTCAAAACATTTCTTCTCACTTGTTTTCGATGTTGAAAGAACAAATGGATAAAAGGACACTTGTGCAATTAGTGCGGCATTTTATTGTGGCAACGTTTCGCTCTCCAAGAGCTTTGTCAAGCTCCTGGAGAGCGAAATGTTGCCACAATAAAATGTCACATTAGTTGCACATGTATCCTTTTACTTAACATTTGTCTGTAATTCTAGCAACATTATTACAGGTGTGTAGATAAATGGTTCAGAGAACTGACAAGTTGATGAACTAGACACATGTGTAACACTTGGGTGTCTGTATTGTGGAAACGTTTCTCCACACAGTGGCTTCATCAGTCCAGTATAAAGATGAATGGTAAAGATCAGAAGTAGTTTGGAGATAAATCAGTCCCTCAGCCTGGAGTTTCGATGTAATCAGTCCATCAATCTTATGAGATTCGGGACTGATTACCTCAACTAATGTCGTCATCATTGTTCATTGTATAGGACTGATGAAGCCACTGTGTGGCGAAACGTTTCCACAATATACTCAAGTGTTGCACCTGTGTCTAAGTTATTGTTACAAATAAAGTGACCTCACGGGTCGAAAAAATTCACGTGTAAGGACGGGGTTGCACGGAGTTGGGGGTTTCACTCCATACTGCAGGTTTCCCAGAGCGGGAAACCTTTTCACTTTCCTTATTTACCGTAGTTCTGATACTGGCTTCCACCTACAGGAAGTTGATGAGGTGTTTAATTGTGGTGATAACACACCCCGGTGTGAAGCCTTGCATTTCACCGTTGGATGGACACAAATTTTTGTACTTACAACACTGTGCTAGGAAGATCGAGGGATAATTGTCCAGATCAGAATTATCATTTTTCCAACTCTTAATCCTTCAGACTTAAAAATCCGTTTTATGGGAACCCGTGTCCGTTATTTATGTACTCTAAATCCCAATGGCCCCGTGGCCTGGTGGCTAAAGCTCTTGTCTTCACACGGCGAGGGTCCGGGTTCGATTCCCGGCGAAGGTAGAAATATTGGGCGTGTTTCCTTTACACGGTTGTCTTGTTCTTCATCAGCAAATGGAAACTTGGGTGTTAGTCGACTAGTGTGGGTCGCATCCTGGGACAAGACTGATCTAATTTTCCCGAAATGCTCTGCATAACAATCGGCTTTCTGTATAGTAGTATGTCATTGATGTCAGCTATGGTCTGTATACCTTGTACATGTGCTTGTAGAAATAAAATTATTATTATTATTATTATTATTATTATTATTATTTATTATTATTATTATTATTGATATTATTATTATTGTTGTTATATTATTATTATTATTATTATTATTATTATTTTATTATTATTATTATTATTTTATTATTATTATTATTAATGTGTTATAATGCCTAGACTCTATCTGAGATACTTGGGGGGGGGGGGGTAACTTGTTCTCTACAGCCACGCCCCGGTAAAAAAAAAAAAGGGAGGTGTGCAAGACCCGTAGGGAGTAGGCGTGTGGGCAAGACCACTCGCCAGGATTACCAAATTTCGCTTCACAATCTAGCAGATGTGTCGAGCAATCACGCTAAAGGTATCCTCTAACTGCTGCTTCGATTGCGTGAGCTCGTAGTTTGCGTGATATGACGTACCGTTACGTACACACGATGAAGCTCTCCCAAAACTCGCACTATGGATGGCAACCAGTGTGTAGATTTCCTCTAAACTTGGCAACCTACAGGTAGGTATCCTCCAAAGCTGGCAACCTCTGTGTAGGTATCCTTTGAACTTGGCAACCTGTGTGTAGGCATCTTCCAAACCTGGCAACCTGTGTATAGGGATCTTCTAAACCTGGCAACCTGTGTGTAGGCATCCTCAAAACCTGGCAACCTGTGTGTAGGCATCCTCAAAACCTGGTAACCTGTGTGTAGGCATCCTCAGAACCTGGTAACCTGTGTGTAGGCATCTTTCAAACCTGGCAACCTGTGTGTAGGCATCCTCTAAACCTGGCAACCTTTGTGTAGGCATCCTCCAAACCTGGCAGCTTGTGTGTAGTTCCTCCAGATCCCCGGAAACAAGATGTTACCATCCATTGAATAACTTTAGGCACTCTTCCACCAGACTATTTAAAGGCAAATATCACAAACCTACAATTGAAAAGTGGGTCCTGCCAGAGAGCGATGATAACCTTACCAACCTATACCGTGGGCAGTGGTCACTCCATATCCATATTGTGGACGATTGTCACCTCACACATCCTGTGGGAAGTAAGCACTCCATATCCATCTTCTGGGAAGTAAGCACTCCATATCCATCCTGTGGGAATTAAGCACTCCATATCCATCCTGTGGGAAGTAAGCACTCCATTTCCATCTTCTGGGAAGTAAGCACTCCAGATACATCGTGTGGGAAGTAAGCACTCCATATCAGTCGTGTGGGAAGTAAGCACTCCATATCCATCGTGTGGGAAGTAAGCACTCCATATCCATCGTGTGGGAAGTAAGCACTCTATATCCATCCTGTGGGAAGTAAGCACTCCATATCCATCTTCTGGGAAGTAAGCACTCCATATCCATCGTGTGGGAAGTAAGCACTCCATATCCATCGTGTGGGAAGTAAGCACTCCATATCCATCGTGTGGGAAGTAAGCACTCCATATCCATCTTCTGGGAAGTAAGCACTCCATATCCATCTTCTGGGAGGTAAGCACTCCATATCCATCTTCTGAGAAGTAAGCACTCCATATCCATCTTCTGGGAAGCAAGCACTCCATATCCATCGTGTGGGAAGTAAGCACTCCATATCCATCGTGTGGGAAGTAAGCACTCCATATCCATCGTGTGG